TCTGCTTGTCTTTTTGAGGAGGAATTGCAGATAATTCGTCGTGCTGATGTGGTGAGATACCATCCATGTTTACAAGACGGGTGCTACGTTCAACCAGGCAGAACCTTGGAATTTGTGGGGGCAGGACAAGCCTTGTCTTTGGTTGGCTCCGAGCTGAGCGACCAAATCTGATCGTCTCTGGCTGTCGTCTGTCTGGCTGGGCTGACACAAGATTTCCCAATATTGACTCCCGTAAGAATCGGTGCTTCTTGTGAAAAGATGATCAGAAGTCAATAATCGTCTTGGAGAGAACATAAACCTTCCGAGAAATCCTTGCGCCGGTGGTTGTAGCGAAAGCCTCGTTTTCGCAAGCTGGCAGAATGTGGCCTGGTTGCGTGTCGCATGGTTGACTTGACGGCAAACATGGGTGATTGGAATATAGCCGGTAAGCAATGCATTCGGCTCTTTTCGACCGCCGATGGTAGAGTATCAATCGAGGCAAGGTCGTAAGGGGGTAAAGCTTACAGTATGAACATGTATAATGCTCCTTTGAATGTGGTGCGTCTGCGTAATCCGGACCGATGTGTAGGAAAGACTTTCCGTTTGGGTACTGGCTCGATTCTAGAAACCAGCCTATTCGAGAGCTTCATGACTGAAGGAGGAAAACAAAGAGACAGACATACAGCAAAGACGAGCGTAGCGCGGGGTGTTGGAGCTGACCAAATGCTATTTCTGCACATGTCTGTCTCTGTCTCATCATCAGATGGATTGAAGGGGGTCCATTTGGGTTAGTCGGCCCCCCGAATCCAGGACAGCAAAGAGTCAAAGACACATGGCTTACCACCACAAGTACTATGGCTTGCAGCAGCTAACAGGCTGGACAAGTAGGAGGGGGCGTTCATTCAGTGTGGTGCCCGGAGTCGAGGTAGGTAAAGGCAAGGATGTAAAGCCAGTCAAAAGCACCAGAAAAGTGTAAAAGAGGGTGAATGGAGTGATTTGTGAGAAGGGAAGGGGAAGGAAGGTAAAAAAAAAAGGCCAGTCCAGTACGTACCTGGATACGTCCAGGTAGTAAGCTCACGTGGCGCGCCGGGTAGATCGTCGCTCTCTAGTTGCGGTACATGTGCAAAATCCAGCCGGGGTCCATGGGGTGTCTTCCCAAGAAGCAAAAGCCTGAGCTCAGATCTGCCAAGTCTAGGAATTTTTCCTGGGTTTTAATGTAGTGCAGCATGTCTGCCGCGTACCGAGCTCACTGTACCGAGCTCACTGAGTCTCTACAGAGTACGCTACCTTGCTCTGTATGAGTGTCGAGACCTAATGTACATTAATTAATGTCAAGCAAGCATAAACCGGAAAAGTAATGTCAACGGATTTATTCTCTGCCATTTTCCCACAAAATTTTCGGCTGATGGATCACGACTATGGGTGGCATGGACATTTAGAAATGGATGCTACTGCTGGATACATTCTAGATGGCGGTACTGGTTCGCATCACTTTCCCCCCTTCGCTCTGTATGATCGACAGGCAGTGAAAGTTCCTCACGCGCGTCCTATCCGGGGAAGGCGACTCACTCAGACAATAATATAAAGTATCCAGACCTGTGCACGCTTGGTGTTGCTGTCTTACCACCATGCTGAGCCGGACCAACGGTCGTGTTTTTGAGTTTCACTCCTTCATAGTGAACCTGACCCTGGGAAGACTTCGTCTGACTCCAAATAGGTTCGAGATCTCGTTGGTAGCGTCTTTACGGATTTGTGCTCCAAGCGCACCTGGTTGAGAGCGGCCAAATCGATCGATTACGGAGAGTACTAGGTTAATTATGTTTGCGCATGCAGATAGGTTGCATGACGACATTATATAATGAAACAAGGCACAGTCTAATCGTTCAATACAGATTTCATAGCGGGACAAAACGAAAAGTAAGTATAATTCGCCATAATGCAACGTATTTGTCAAATCATGCTACTGGAGGACTCTTGAACGTCTGGATTGCAACGATTCGTCCAGCTATCAGCCAGCGGCGCACAATTGGGACGCAATTCGACAATGAACGGCTCTTTTGAGCGGGCCGGATAAGGCAAGGCGAACAGCATAAATCAAACACGATTAATTGGGTACGAATGAGACTCGGGGGTGCATGTGTGTAATCGAGCCTGTTATGAGGTTTCCCACGTGTGCTACCGATATCCGGGCAAAAGCAACGGCCCAAGAGTTCTTGTATGTATTTTTCTTCTTCCCTTTTTTTTTTGCCTCTAATAGAAGCAATTTCTACTGTCGCCGTCATAAATAATTGTCCAATTCATGCCTTTATGACGGCTCCTGGTTGCTATTCAAGAGGGTTATTTACTACCAACCAGACTTTGATCGCGGACAAGGCAGCAGAAATCCGATGGTGAGTGCAGTGCCGTTTGATACAGTGACCAGCGACTCGACAAACACCACTTACGGGCCATTATGCCATCACAATGAACGAGGACATCGGGAGTGACATGCACGAGACACCAGACACATACAATAATACCTTATGTCTGATTCCCCAAAGAAAAAAAGCCGATCCATGTAACGTACCTGTGCGTGAGAATTGGTCAAACAGCAAAAAGAAACCCCCTTGGTTCTGGGACAAGAAGAAGCAAATAGGCATTCAATGTGATTGATTGTCTGCTTGCCAATATAGGTGCCTGTCCATCCACAGTCGGATCATGGATGCTTGCTTCCAACCTTGTCCTCTGTACACAGTAGAATTTCCAGTTGTCTGCCCCGTGAATGGCATTGGCTAGCTAATGTATCCGATGGGTGGGATGGGCGCATCTCAGCACCAGTTAGCTGCCAATTCAGCAATGGGCCATGATTACTATCTAGCGTGCAGACGGGAGGGAGGTATTGGGTACTTGGCCACGCGCTGCTGTTCGAGGGGGTGGGGAAAAAGCCACGGGGAGCTTGAGGGGAGACTGGGGGACGAAGAATTCTGGGTTTGCTAGGCTTGCTGGGCTGGCTTGGCTGGGTTCTCAGTCGACGAATTGGTGGCCCCACCGAGTTGATGAGTCCAGTCGCGGCGCAGGATCGGCGAGGGGCCCGGGGGTTCGCGAATGAACTGCAGCGATAGGTACTGGGTACGGGATTACTGCCACGAGGGAGCAGATACATTAACTCACATACCTAAGTGCTTGTGGGCACCTACATACGGCAATCAGCAAATGGTGCCAAATGCGAGCCCTTCTTCTGCACGAGCGAGAACCTCCCTGTCTCGGGCGTGCACATGTACTCCCCGACCTGCCCAGCCATTAGGTAGCTTTTCGGGCCATTAACCCCATCTAAGCAGCTTCTAGGTGGTCTAAGTAGGTTAGGTAGTCTCACCCTTTCAAGCCCTTCCCTCCCTCCGCATGGCTGTGCCATGCGAGACAGAGGAGGGAAAAAAAGGCCGACTCCAATAATGCCTAGGAGCCTGGTTGTTTGTGGTGGTGGTGGTCAATACCGTAATAGTAAAGGCCTGTGCAGGTAGTAGCGTCCTCCTTTCGATTTGACTGACCGGGGAAATACTAATCATTTGGTACTCCATACTGGTTGGAAGGCTGGAAGGGATAATACTTTTGCGCTGCGTGACGCGGGCGGCGAATATATCGAAGCCGCAGCCTCCCTCAAATCGCCCACCTATCTACACTAATAACCATTGCCCCCAGGTAAGCACTCGGCTGACAATACCAAGAGGTACATGTATGACCTGTCTAGCCTGCTCGACTGTCAATGGATTTGATCTTGACCTTCAGACTCCCCGAGATCAGACGTATTGATGTACGGGCATTTGCAGCATGTACCCTTTCTAAACGTATGGCTGCCCGTATTGAGCAAGTCAGATTCGCGCAATTGATCATATAGCCCGGCTTGGTATATACGCACCAACCTGTATGTGGCGGCGGTAGCTCCGAGGCGAGTCCAATCCTTTTGTCTCGAGACCATTTCATCCCATCAACGTGTTGGACTCCATCCATGTGCCGGTAGGTACGAGATACATTCATTCCTCTGAACTCAATCGTTCAACGTCCGTCCCCCCTACGCTTGACACCTGCCCTTCCAGCAACTTGTCCCATCTTTCGCTCGAACGTCTTCCAGTCGCTTGGATCGGATCTTTTCTACTTGCATGAATAGCTGCTGCTACATGTACACACATGCTTGTTCGGATCAGTGGCCGGTCTCCCTACATAAAAGAATCATACTCGCCTCGGGATCCCCCCATTGCCCAAGTGAACACTGCATTTGTGCTAGGTGCTGCTGCTGGTAGGCCAATGTAGTAAAGTACCCAGATACATGCGCTACTGTGCTCTTGATTGCGCACGTCCCGCCCTAGTCGCTTGTTCTGCTTTTTTTCCCTCTTCTTCCCACGCACACGCCCCCCCTCCCCTGGCCCAGCCGGGCATCATTGATCCCTACTAGCATCTCTGATGTTCCACTGAGAGTGGACAAGTCGCTGGGGACTTCTGGGTGGGTTCCTATGGCAGTCCACCTTAAACCGCTTTTAACTCTTCCTCCACGTTCTCACCAATCCTTCTGAGATTCTACTTACTACCTTACTTTGCCATCGTCAACTCCAACTCCCATCATGTTTCTTCAACATTAACTCAAGCATCCTCGCCTATTATTCGTCTCCGATTTGTATGCCCGTAGTAGTGTCGGCTTCTTTCATAAAGCTAAATCGAGAGTCCGGAATATCACCAGATCGACGCACGATCCAACTCAGTCCCGCTTGGGGATCACTAGGCCTTCGGTGCCCATTGCGTTGCGCCTGGCTGGCAGCAGCGCGGACACGGGAGCGGGAAGTGGTTCTGGCCAAGCTCGCGGATAATATCTATATATTCGCCTCTATCCCTCTCGTCCAGCCGAGTCTCAACCTTCTTCAGCTTCCGCGCACACTACAAAACTGAGCACAAGTTCGCAAAAACAGCTGCGATCTAGGGGAAGGGAGAAGAACAAAAAAAGATCAGGTCTCGGCAACATCGACTTCTGTAGACTCTTTACTCTCGCCGTTAACATGACCACCGAGAATAATCGACCAATCTCCCACAAGCTGCCTAATGGGATGGCTGGGGTTCTCAATCACCCAGAGGAGACTCGCGACTCTGCCTACTTCTCGGGCACAGATGCCTCCAGTAAACGTAGGTTTGACCGCCATTGACACGGCAGAGTATTAGCTCACCAAGGTATTTAGACACCTCAGCCGCCTCGGGAATGGGCCTCAATGTCCACCAAACACACCCAGGCTTTCGCGTGTCAAGCGACAAGACTCCGTCTCCAGGCACCACAGCCATGTATTCTCAGCCTTTGATCTCTCCATCCGGCAACATGAGTATCACTGCGATGGTCTCACCCACCACGCCTGAAGGTGGCCGATTTGACCGCCCGCTGTCGCTGGAGTCAACTAATGGGTTGTTTGATTCCCGACGAGAGAGCGTTGACAGCAGATTTGCTCAGGGGTTTGGGGAGATGAGGCTCGGTGGTAACTCGCCTTATGCGACTCACAATGCGTCGACAACGTCCATACATGGATCCGTTGCTCACCGCCATCCCCGTAACAGTGGACTCGATTCCAATGGCCGGATGTCCAACGGATATCAACCCAATGCCGAACGCAACCCACAAGCCGATCGGGATAGCAAGATCGTGCGGACAGCGCCAGTCATTACTGGCCCGACGACCAGCACTATTGCTCGAGCTGCTGAGCCCACTAAAGGTCAAGGCTGGGCATTCCCCGAGGATGAGATTCAAAGAGGAACCTCTGCTGCTGGCCACCACTACTACGATTCAAGACGTAGTAGTATTACAGAATCGATCGCCAGCAGCCAATTCACTGAAGCATCCAAGTTACCACCTGGACAACGACGGTTCGATGACGTGAATGCCGAATACCGACTATCGAGCCTATCCAATGCCTCGCAACAAGATTTCCCCGCTGTTCACCACCATTCACTGCAGCATAAGCAGTTGACCGATCTGCACAGCGAGGAGTCCAGCCCCCCGGCCGGCTCGCAGCCGTACAGCAGAACCCCAGAACTTCGCAAGAGCCACAAGCTCGCAGAACGCAAGCGTCGCACTGAGATGAAGGAGCTTTTTGAGCAACTACGAGATCTGATGCCTCAAGAAAGAGGATCCAAGGCCTCTAAATGGGAAATTCTGACGAAAGGTATGTATTGTTGGCTTCCCAACTCCCTTGAGCCAATGTCTAATTCGTTTCCCATAGCAATTGCCGAGCATCAGAAGCAGCAAGATCACATCAGAAATTTATCTGGACATCACAGCGCGACACAGCAGGAAAATGAAGTCCTCCGCCGAGAGGTTGAGAGGCTGCAATCAGAAAACAGCCAGCTCCGTACTGGGCCCAATGGGTTGCCGGCGCACCAAGCCGGTTATGCTGCCCAAGCACATCCAACTTCTGACCCTTACGGAAAGGGTGCCACACGCCCAGAGCTGCCGCCATTGCGTGCGCTCAGCGGGCCCATGCCGAATGGTGATTCCATGATGGGTGTCCAATACGAAGGAGCACCGTCACATGGCAATGGTTATCGAGCACCACCCCAATATTAAGCACACTCTCTCGTGTTATCGTGTTTCTTTCGAGGCTTTCGGGCTCAAGTCATACAGCCCGTTGTGCATTCATTCCAACAACTTTCCCGTTCGCCAGTGCCCTCTTTGATACCCACCACAGCGTATAGCTAATATTCCGAGCGGCACAACTATTTAATTCGATTCTTTGCTGCCATCACAGAATGGTACGGAACATTCAATGCAACAAACCACCGGTCACGATGATACTCTTGGAGCACATGTGCGACTCAGAGCCACACATGGTCAACGAGATAGTGGAGGCACGATCATTCCACACCCCTGACATAATTGTGGATAAAGCCATTGCAGCGTGTAGCCTCAGGCAAGCACGTCATCGAGCTAGAGAATACAGATTTCGAGACAACGACGCTCCAACCATGAGGGAGCCTGGGCGATCCGATTCGAAAACAAGCTGCTTGAGAAAGGCAGTCATTGAACTGTGCTCTCTTACCGGACTATTATATTTGTTTCCAACTTTGTCACCCGGCGCAGGAAATTGGTGTGTTGATATACATATATATTATACCCCCATTCGTCCCACAAGGTCGATGGGCTCGGGAAAGGGAAAGCTTTTGCTTTGAGTGTCTGTGTTAAACCCCCCCAAAAAAGTACGTGGATAGTAAGTGGACGATGAAGGTTTAGCTGGAGATGATGGTTATTGGTTGATAGCTGGGCTTTGACCCTTAATGCTATTGTATGAAGCCACGTAGGTAGGCATGTGGGAGGTTGATCATGACTGCACCATAGTCGTTGCGCTGCACTGTAGCTGCAATCCATTCACGGCAGACCAGTGTTAAAATACATAATAGCGATGTACAATTGTTATCCTGTCTGGAATGTGCAAAATCGGCCTTGATCTTCCTTTGTGACATTGACTCGATTGGATCAAAACTACGAGATATTTCTACTTGTTTCTACGTGTCGACATTGCACTTGATTAGAAGGTATTGCCAGCAACCAATCTCAGTTTCGTCAAAGTGGACTTCATGTCTTGCAAAGAAGCCAGAGTGAGACAAGTGATGCAGTAGACACATGTATGCCACGCGATGACTGAGAGCTTTCGTTGCATGTGCTGCCCGTTACATCCATGGGGTTGGCAAGAATCAAACCCAGAGAAAAAGGAGTTTGCAGATGTCTTTGAACGCCCTGGGACTCATGTGCTCCCGGCCTCGTGGGCGGAACGCTCCAATTTATATCAATGGCGTAGCATGTGGTTTCCCCCGAATAAGCTGCAGGCATTTATTGTAAAAATAGGCGAGCCCATGGTTATATCCAAGGGTCCAATATATTCATGCTCTGGGGGACTAGAGTCTAGGTAGCCCAGGTAATAATAAATAGGTGCGTTGGGGCTCTGTTTTCACTTCTCAGAGCCTCTTATCTCGCCCGTTCCAGAAGCTCGATCGCGTTAAGAGGGAGGTCAGCTACACACGAACTCAGAAGTGGGTCCAGTCTAGCGGAATCTAGCCTCTACGAGATAACGCTTATCGGCGCGTCGACAGCCTTTCCAATCGACGCCAAAATTTTCCATGAACGACTGCAACTGCGCACCTATCGATTGTTACTTTTGCCCCCAATCAATGACATTTTCTATTGTATACTGAACCGCAACATTTTAATTCAACATGTAAGTTATGTCGAATACTGTCCTTCCACTGGCCCGATAATAACTGACATGGTCACAGGTTCTCTGTACGACGCGCAGCCCTGAGAGCTGCCAGCTCATCCTCGTCGCTGGCTGCCGCCACCTTGAGACAGCAGCAGCACGGCTCCTTTGCCCTGCAGTTTGCCAAGTTCGCTGCCCGCCCTGCCATTGTGGCTCCTGCCCGCCTCTTTTCTCAGACGTCGCGTGTCGCTCAGGAGGACGAGGACGAGAAGAACACAGTCGAGGGTGCCATCAAGGCCGCCGAGACCCTCGGCTCGACCGCACCGGCCACCGAAACCCCCGTCGTGGCCGAGAACGAGTCCACTGGCATCTACATTGGAAACCTCAGCTGGGACGCCACCGAAGAAAACTTGCGCGAGGCTTTCGCCAAGTACGGTGAAATTGTCCAGCTCAACATTGCCAAGGATGCCCGCGGCCTGAGCAGAGGGTAAGCGCAATCTCCCCACCCACTTGGAGAGATTAATCTTGCAAGATACAGAGAGAATTGACATGCTAACCGGCCCTCTTTTAGCTTCGCCTTTGTGACCTACACCGACAAGGCAGCAGCCGAGGCAGCCGTCGCCGAGACGGCCGAATCCTTCTGGCACGGCCGCCGCATCAACGTGCAAGTGCGCAACCCAGCTCTCCGCAGAGAGGGCCGCAGAGACGGCGGCAGAGACGGCAGGATGCCCAAGAACGAGCCCAGCACGTCGCTCTACATTGGCAACATCCCCTACGAGACGTCGGACGTTGATCTGAACCGCCTGTTCCGCGAGCTCGAGGGCGTGACCGACGTCCGCGTCGCCGTCGACCGCACCACCGGCTGGCCCCGCGGCTTCGCCCACGCCGACTTTGTCGACGTCGAGTCTGCCCAGAAGGCCTTGGAAAAACTCGCCCAGACCGAGCTGGCCGGCCGCACCCTCCGCCCCGATTTCGCCGGGGGTAGAACAAACCGGGGCTTTTCTGACAGAGGCGACAGACGGTCCAACAACAGGGACGGCTTTGCTCCGCAGCGTGACGCTCGCGACTCTGACGAGTTCTAAAGAGGCGAAGTCAGAAAGGAGAACAGCCGGGGAAGAAAGATAAACTGTACGATGACGAAATTTACTGCCATGATAGTGTCTGAGAATGCTTTGTAAGGGGGGAAGACAAACTACAGCATGAGAGAAAATCTCGGCAATCCACTGTGTCTATGTGCCTGAAGGGGGGGAAAATATCATGAAAAATAAGGCGAATGGCGCATCTTCCGGTCACAGACACGATCATGGGGAAGCAGACTAATGAACGAAATCCGAAGTATATATTGTAACAATAGCATCATAAAAATGCACAACGTGTAGAACAGCATTACAATCAGGCTACGGCGTTGGGTGATCAACAATTCAAGTATGTAGCACATCTCCCATCTGCATAAAAGAAAAAAGGCATTGAAAATTGCATCCATACAAGTACGCTGTTATATTCATGCGAACACGCGGCTAATGAATGCTCCTAAGATAAGGCAGAAGTACTATTTATTCATAATAATGATGATGGCCGGCCATAGCCCTCATAGGGGTACAAAAGCAATCGTTCCTTGGCGCGGGGGTGACATGATGACCTCCGGTATCTTCTGTCCATTTCGAAAACTGTGATGCCTTCGGGGGTCCTGAATTTGCTCTAAAAGTCGATGTCACCTCTGAAGACACTCGGATCTACACCAGCAACCACCTTTTCAGCCAAGTCACGTCGGCCCATCTGAGTAAACACCCTCCGCAGCGTGTCGTAAAGATTGGTGCTCCTGTTCTGGGTAGTCATGGCATCTAGTTGCTCATCCGACACACCACCTCCTAGAATCTCTCTGGCCTTTTCGCGGCCTTCCGTCTCAACGCTCTTGTGCATTTCAAGGGCAGCCAGGAGATGTCCGGCAGCTTCAGCATGACAGCCCATGTTGATGCAGCTGACACCCAGGTTATATCGTGCCCGGACAAAGTTGGGTCGTAGAGTAAGTGCCTTCTCATAAGCTGCAATAGCATCTTCGCTCTTGCCGCTATTGGCCAAAGTAGCGCCCAGTCGATTCCATAGCAGGTGGACTTGGGAGCTCTGATTCGACAAGCCTTGCTCAGACGATGCCAGTGCAGCGCTGAAGCAGTCCACTGCCTTGTCATATTCCTCGGCTCCGTAGAAAAGAACACCCAGACCAACCTGGACGTCGGGGTCCATATGTTCACCGTCGGGACTTAGGTTGGCCGCTTTGATGAAGAGTTCCGTGACCTTGTCGTGAAGTATTTGTCGGTCAGTGAAGCCCAAATCAGTTGCGGGCGAGAGATCGGCTGGCGAAATCACCGACGGGTATTTGATCGAGAGCCACCGCTCCAATGTTCTGTATGCCGTACTGTCGTAGCCTTCATTTGTGTACGACACGGCCAGAGTCATCAGTGCTGGTAGGTTATTGGGGTCCAAGTTCTTTGCCTGCTCTAATGCTCTGATGGCCGCGGTTTCCTTTTCATTTTGTGCCTGCGCACCACCAAGTTGTACCCAGGCCTCGACATGGCTGGGATCGCGTTGTACAGCAGCTTCGAATGCCAGGGCTGCGAGTGAAAGGTTGCCGCCCTCATCTATTATGCGCAAACCCTCTTCGAAGGGATTGCTGGTGTCTTTGAACAGATTGTCTTCTTCAAACAGGTATGTCTCAACCTGCGGATCCGCGAACAACCGCCCGCCTTCTCCCCAGTTCATATTCATGTTGTTCCAGTCGCCGTCTGTGAATTTGTTAACCCATTCGTCCTCAGCCATCATTTCCTTGTTGGCTTCTTTTTCAGCCTGAATACCTTTCCATATTGACTCGAAATCGCCAAAGTGGTCTGTTTCCGACTCTAGGATGTTCTCGTCCAACTGGTTCAGCTCGGGCTCCAAGGCGGCGTTTTGTTCTGCCTCTTCGCGAGCCTTCTGGTCATCTAGTTCCAGTTGCTTGAACTGCTCTTCCCACTGTCTATCGTCGAGCTCGACCAGCTTGCCTTTGCCCTTGGCATCCATCTGTGGCTGTTGCTGTTGAGGCGCGCCATACATCTGGTTGCCATACATGCCTCCTCCCATGCCATAGCTCATTCCCATGCCCATTCCCATGCCGCCCATCATGGGCCGCTGGTATCCCATCTGCGCCGGCATCGGACTCGATCGGTGGGACGATTGGTTACCCTGCTGCATCTGGGCGAACCGAGCATAGTCCTCGGGACTAAATTGGGTTCCTTGAGGCACCTTGAAAGCCGATTCCATGGCGGCCTGGGGGTTTTGTTGGAACTCGTTGGCCCACGAGGGGGAGGCGCTGGCGGCGCGCAGGTGTACGCCTTGGACGGGGTGGTCGAGTCGCAGGCCTTCCATGGGCGGCATGTCGTGGAGGCGGCCGTTTTGCTGAAGGAAGCTGTTCATCATCTCATCCTGGGGGGCGTGGGCGGGCGCACTACGGAACCCGCCCATGCTGCCCTGCGGTCCGCCATTGACGATGCGATCGCGCTGCAGGCTGTTATCCTCTTGTGTGTGTTTGGCGAACTGACTGAGCGGGTTGCCCGACGTCGAGCACTCGGCGCCTCCCATGAACGACATGGTGAATGATCTTGTCGCTGGTCGGCGAGGGTGTATCGAAATTGGAAAACAAAAAGAATACAACAAGAAAGAAAGAATAGTGGATATACAAATTGCAAAGTCTTTTTGTTCTGAAAATCGCAAGATGAGTGTAGAAGTCCTGGGGGCTCCGATAATTAGTAGGTGCCTCGGGCCTATTAAGTTCATATGTCAAAAGGTTACAAATCCAAACTAGCGTTTAGTGGGGTTAGGCCTTCCTCACCTTTCTCCGCAGCGAACCGAGGAAGTGGCAACCCCACATTATCCCTCCCTGTTCAGGCAGTTTTCACCGGTCCAGGACATCAAAGCCGCGGCGGAACTCCCGATTGCGCCGACTACGGTACCGGATTCCGGGTCTTGATGATAATAACACATTACCCTCGACTTGGTCTAGATAGTGGTTGATTGTGGAGATCACGATCATCTTGTAGACTTTGAAGTCTAGCGAATAAAATAATGAGTAATACTAGATCATCGTACCAAGGTATTGAGAGTTTGTTGGAACAAAAGCAAATTATTAGTCTTTCCATCAGTCAAAAAAGCCACTCGCAATTCACCAAAATGCCATCAGATGATGTGGTGGACGACGAGGTCATTACAGACTATTGTATGCAGGCCAAGTTGATTTGATAAATCTACATCTCCCGCAAATTCATTATCGACCCAAGATCATCAATTGAGTCTGCCTCATGCTTTGGGAAACGGAATAATGGCTCTGCCCAACTATGCATCAGATATGTGGTACAATATGGAAGACGAGACTCATGGTTCAAGTCTGGGATTGTTTTGCATTGAGCTATAGTATAGCTAGACAACAAAATTGGGTATCATGAATCAGTTTTTTCTTGCCCATCCACACAATCACGTCTCTTCATGCCTCGTCATACAACACTCGTCCCTCAGTAAGTCCAGCAAGTGTATCTATTTGACCCCAATAAAGGCGATACCATTGCGAGCCATACCGACTGCCTTTTTCAAGGCTTGGTCTTCCGCGTCTGTCCACTTGACGCTCAACTCGTCCCACTTGCTTCCGGGAGTGTTATACTCGCGTTTGAATTGGGCTTGCTGAGCTTGCAATCTGCTCATTTCACGTGGATCGCCGCTCCCGCTGAAGATGATCAATGCAGTACACGGCGGTAGTGACTCATGAATATACTTGAGGCGAGCAGTCAGTCTCTGCAGACATGCCTCCAAAGGTGACACAGCAGATGCGGTGCCGTTTGAACCAGTGAGATCCGAGACATCGGGTGGTCCTGGAACCTCAGATTCTGGGCTGATACGGTTTCTATTCCACCAGCCTTGCAGTGCCTCGAGTTCCCTGAACCGAGCAAACACAAAGTCAGCCCCACCGTAGGGAATCTCTTCTGCTACGGGATCGCCCTTTGTAGCTCGGAGGACTCCTTGTACGACCTCGTCATCGTTCTGGCATCCGACGCGCCAAGTCGCAGCTGCTCCTGCACCCTTCATCGGGTCGCCCCAGTCGACCATGACACTTGACTTGCCTAACACTGCGCCGCCGAGGGCCTCGATACCTCCGTTGGCACGATACGAGGTGCCCATGCGCGTTAGTCGCCGAAACAAATTTTCTCCTTGCTGCTCGTGAGCACCCCACGACTTGCCCTTCTCACACTTTTGCTTGACCAGATCAAGACAAGCTTTGGCGTCCTCAATAGGGCTATGTCCTTGAGACCCCTTCTGGATCTCGCGCTTCAAGAAGCGTTGCGACAAGAACTTCAAACTGTTCTTCAGAGGTGGTCCTCTGTTGTGAGGATAAAGCAGTGCAGTGTCGACGATGAAGGGGTGCGTAAGTCGCAATGCCTTTAAGTCAGAGTCCAGTGAGTGACCGACTAGAATGGTTCGGGGGTGCAGTAAATCTATAAGCCTTGCTTGTATGTCCTTTAGGGTAGTTGTTACAGGGTCCAACATCTGCTTCGTGATACCCGAAAATTGCGTCACGTAGTCAACAATGGGCTTGTCTGGCTTCACAAGCTCATCCAGAATAACGGTTCCATCCCAGCTCAAGAGACTGACTCTAGTCAAAGAAAATTCTGCTGGTCCAGTCATACACATTTCGCAATCAAGCGCAAGAACTTCACGGCCGGCGGTGATGGCTCCTTGCTGGATCTCTGACTCTGGCACATCGCCGTCAGAGAGGTTCTGAACATTTGTGTGAACCCAACCCTCTTCATCTCGAAACTCGGCGCGGCGGTCTGCATTGTCGATCAGGGCAGGATGCAATGTATAGCCGTTCGGGACAAAGTCCTCTGGGTTCATAAGGTACTCTGTGATTCTGGTGCGTTGATCTTTCCAGCCACTGGGCTCCCTGGCAGGCTGAACGCCCTGGCCTTTCTTGTTCTTCTCCTCTGCCGATTTCTCTTGTGGTGCTGTGAGCATGGTATGCAGTGGTGAGCGCAGGTTGCCAAACTTTTCATTCCCGGGCGTCTTTATGGGCCAAAGGTGAGGGAACATTTCGGCAAAGGGCTGAAGGACTTCGGGCAACTCTTCCTTCTTAAGCAGCCGAGGGTAGTAATCATCGGGTGAAGTCATGACGCGAGACTTTTCAGAACTTCTCGGTTCGTTTTGGTAGGTGGAGAAATCTACATCCATCTTGAACATGGCCTCTTCCAAGCCTGGCACCATGAGCGTTACAATTTTTCGGAATTGTGGCCGATTACTTATGGAAACCCATTGCGGCGCGGTTCCCTCGGCAAAGATGTACAGAATGAGGTTGCGCAATTGGTCCAAGGAGACCTTTGCCTGCAGCTTTGCATTGTAGTTGAAAGAGATGGAAGGGTAATGGGAGCCGTCGCTCTTAGGAAGCTTCTTCTGCTTTTTCTTTGATTTCTTGCGCTCAACCTTTTGCCAGCCATCTTGTTCATCTTCTTCCTCGTCCTCGGGCCTGGAGCGCTTGATGCCGACGCCATTGTTGGTGTTGGATTCGATTGCTGCAGCGACGGTCGGCTGTGCTTGGGAATCTGCTTGAGGCACTATTTGGAATTCTGGTTGGGCGGTGATGTTTGCCTCTAGGTTTTCAGCATTCGCATCGTGCAGGTCTTGGAGCTGGAGCTTCTGCTCGGGAAACTCTGGCTGGGCGTCGAATCCGAGGCTGTAGCTTTTCGGAATGGCAGCCTCTGGATTGCTGGCCACAGCAGCCTGGACGGCAGCGAGTGCATTCGCAATGCTTTCGGCCGTCGATTCGTCCATGGCGGTGAAACGCGGGGGGGACAGAAGGACGGAGAGGGGCGAGATTGAGGAGACACGCGACCGAGAAGAAAATGGAAAAACGAGTAAAGGGGAAAGAAGAAGAAGAAGAAAAAAGTGGTGATGGGGAAATCTCGAACTCAACCAAAAAGTCGAGATTTCCGAGTGGCAGGCAGGGATTAGCTCCAGCAGATCTACCGTCCAAGGTGGGACCTAATGTAGCCTCACAAGCAAGCATGTGGGGTCCGGCCCGGCGCTCGCATTGACTGAATTGTGCTAATGTAAAAAGAAGCTCAGATACCTACTGACTTGGCTAGTTTAACTTCCAATAAGGGGCGGCTATTTTATTTTTAAAATCTGTTTAATGATTCTGTTTATGATTTTCTGGCAGGTTTCAGGCCGGAACATCTTCTCCTTCTACTGGCCTAAACGTTGTTCGTTGTCATAATCGTCATCATTACTCCTCCTCTTCTTGGGCGATATTTGGAGAGCTGGACATGTGGCTCGGGGAAATGATCGGGATCTGAGCTGTTTTTTCTTCTTCTCCATGTTCTTGTTGTTGCCAGACGACTGATCACCCAAGAGCCTTTGCGCCGCGCTCCCGGCAACTGCTGCGCAACACATCATGGTTCTCCTGGATCTTCTGAACCCATCTGTCGTGAGCTCTCCTGTATCTTGCTCCAGCGCTTGTCTTGCGCTCTCGCATACTGGGACGGTCGTGCCCAAGCAGTTTTCCAAGGCAAAGGAGAACCTAGCAAGCCCCACCATTGGCTATGATCCAAATGCTAAGAGCTATAATTACCTCTTCATGAGACCCGAAACTCCTTCGTCTCAAAAATGGACGGTCGTGGTCGACGGGGTGGTGTCGCGGGTGGAGCGAGAGGTGGAAAAGCTGAGGCAGACCATGCAGACCCTTGAGAATGGTCTCGTTGGTCAGGAATCTCAGTTTGAGGGGATCAGCGCAAAGCTGACCTCTTTTGCCACCAAGATTGACGACATCGAAAGATTGGCCTTGGACGAAGACAGGCTGGTCAAGGTTGAAGGGCGTGTTGAGAAGGCCAATGGACTCATGTGTGCCTCCTTGAAGGACTTATCAAATTCCTTGCAAGACTATGGCAAGGAGTTCCGGGAACAAATCCAAGCGGTATCCGCGGCTGAGAAGGAAATCTCAAGGGATATCGATCGGCTCCGTGCAGAACTACGCGAACAGAGGAGTCTCGCCGACATGAATTCATCTGATATGCGGGAGGAGATTCGCACGACCTCACAATCTCTGGAAAATTACCATGCCGACTTTCAAAAAGAACTCACCGAAGCTAGAAAAGCGCTGATTGCTGTTCAACAAGAGACCTCGCAATCGCTTGAGAATCACAACCAAGCATCTCGGGACGATGTTGTGGCAGTTGAAAACACATTGGCCTTGTTCCGTGACCAAAACATGCAATCATTAGACACCCTCAGCGAGAAATTTCGAGAAGAGATCGCTGCGCTCAAGGTGTCCTTGTCAGATATCCGGGAAGACGCCCTGCAAAGTTCGCATTCGATGGAAAGCAAAACCGAAGAATTTCAGAGAGATGTCGTCGCAGCAAAGAAAGCCACAGCCGTTCTGCAGCAGGAAATGTCTTTGTCAATTGACAGGCGCATTGATGAATTGCAGCTTAAACATGACACTGATTTGGATAGTGTGCGAAACGATACAACACGCACACTAGCCGAGCAGAAGGCAGAGTTTAGGGACGATATGGCTGCAGCCAACGAGGCGATTTCTGCGGCTAGAACCGAGTCGACACGATCCCTAGGCAAATTCAACGACGACCTCAAACGGGAACTTTTCACGGTCAGAGATGGCCTCTCTGAATCTGCAAATATAACAAAACAATCGTTCCAGAAGACAAATGATGACCTGCGAAAAGAAAACGATGTGATCAAGATGGACCTAGCCAATGCACAACAAGAACTGAAACATCTCCGAAAGAAGCTAGAAGAAGCAGAACAAGATCGCAAAGAGGACAGGACAGCAGCTCGAGAATACGCCAAGGACATGTTATCTTTGAAGAACGAATTAGAGCAACTCAAGAAGAATATTGCGCAAGACAAGGAGCGGAGGGAAACCGAACCGATTGTGATGCCGGACGACTTTGAGTCGCTGGCCAGGAACCTGAGCGACATCACTGTGCGGGTAGACCAGATTCGCCACGTACAGCTCGAAGTCCAATTCCTGAGAAGCCGAATGCAAGATTTGGAGGCTGGTTCGTTTGCCGGAACCAGCGATGCGGCATCGACTGTGCTGATCCACGGGAGCGAAAATGGGGACAGGCCAGTTTCTCGAAGAAGGGACTCTCGCAAGCGGGCCAGTTATATTTCCAACCATGGGAGTAGTGAGAACGAAGAAAGGGATACTAGAAAGCGGTCGAGCTTTATCTCCTCCTACGCAAGCAGCGAGAATGGCGACAGGGATTCTCGTAAACGGACGAGCTTGACAGTCCCCCAAAGCAATGGCGAGAATGGAGATAGAAACTCTTACAAGCGTACAAGTCTGACACAACCCGTCAATGGAGAGCACATGGAGAGACCAACAACACCGCGGAGGGATTCTCGCAACAAACGGACGAGCGTGCCTCCTGTGAACGACAGCAGAGATAGACCGACGACGCCAAAGAGGGGAGAGTCTCGCAAGCGGACAAGTCTCATTCACGGTGGCGACGATAAAGCCAGACCTACAACCCCAAGACGAGGGGATTCTCACAAGAGAGCAAGTCTGATACATTCGCCAAAGAGCACCGAAATATCCCGGCCTTCGCCCCCTCGGCGGGCGTTACAGTCGGAGTTGGATGTCAGAAGCTCACTTTTACAACCAGATCGAAGTCACGCGGGGAAAATTAACAAGAGGCCTGCGAGGCGTAGTCTGAAGAAGCCATTGGATGAGGATGAATTACCCCTTCATTTGAATAACCTATAGATTTATAGTATATACTTTATTGAGATGCCTACCAATTGAACATGTAGAACAGCCATCATATTAAGGATACTAGGTATATGACTGAGGACTTGCCGGCGGTGAGTCATTGAGTTTTTGTATTTTCTTTTTGAATACACACACTGACACATATAGTGAAAATCGCAGTAGCGGCGACGAAATTTATCGTCTACTTGTGTCCCAATAAAGCTCTGTTGGAGCCAAACTCTGTATCCATAATCTCAAGCGCAAATCCTGCCAGCTCTTGCACCGGCTTGAGCACAGCATAATCAAAGAACAGGGCCGCTTCTTGATCCGTCTGATCCGTGATCCAGCGCTGGATCAAACGCTTTTCTTTGTCGCGGCCGCGTAAGCCCTCGATATCCTGGAGCTGCTCCTTGGCCTCGTGGTATATCTGCCATTCCTCCGAATGTGCCCGCGGCGCCCAATGCACGGCAATGGCCAGGACGGCCTGGGCAATGGTAGCCTGGTCCATGTTGCTCAGGGCGCGGACAATTCTGCCCCGGAGCGAGCCGTCAAAACTCGACGCGCGCCTGCCCGACAGCGGCGCCGTGTTGCTCAGGAGGTTGGCCAGGAGCTGCAGGCCCTTGATGCGGGCGCCGCCAAACGGCATGGGGCTCTTGACGGGGTCGCAGCGCAGCGCGATGAAGCAGCTGACGGCCAGGCTGCTGGGGTAGTCCTCGCGCTGCTCGCCGAGGTGAATGGTGGCCTGGCCCAGGGTCTGCGGGACGGGCTCGACGGCGTACAGGCCGGCGGCGCAGAGGGGCTGGCAGAGTTGCCACCGTTGGCGCAGGGCGGCTGCGTACTGCGATGGCGAGTCGGCCGCGGCTGTGCTCAGCGGCGTGGAGCAGGCCGAGTAGATCTCTTCGACTTGGGCTTCGATGCTCGCAACCGTGGTGGAGGGCTTGGGTGACGATGGAGTAAAGTCTGGGTTTAGGCTGATGGAGTTGAGGTCCAGGTGAGGATATGCCCAGGCAGTTTGATAGACATCGAGATCATTCTCACACCTGGAGCACAAGCAATCAAACCGCCACCTCTCTTTCAAGGCTTTGATTCTATTTGATTTGTGCAGATTACAGTCTGTATAGTTGTGTTAGTCATGTAGATGTATGGTCTCGATAATGTGACATGTATACCTATGTACGAGATGTCGACTATCTCGCCTTCTTTGATTGCTTTGTTGGCACGCAAAATGGCCTGCCTCCCGTCAAACTGTACAAAAGCGTTCGGCAGGCAGGAGTGGTTGATCATGGATAGTGCCGGGTGCAAAAAGATGCCCGTATCACCCACATCCTCGTCTTTCCTGTTGAACGAGTTGATTTTCAACTAGAGCGAGAGTTTCAGCCTACTTTCCTACACACAAGACATTGATATCACGAAGAACAGCACAAAGAATCGAGCTTACCATGAAGAGTACAGCGAGAGCCTCACCCAACCGCGCCGGCGTCATCTCCAGCTCGAGGTACTTGAGCGCCGCCATGGCCTGGAGCTTCATGTCATCATAGTCCTCGGGCGCATCGTTGCGATCCCACCCCTCGACGAGCTTGCCCAGCTCCGTCCTGGCCGTTGCCAGGTCAGGCCGAACCAGCATCTGCATGAGGGCCCTCACGGGCGTCGGCAGCAGGCGACCGTGGCCGCCCTCGGCCCGGACCTTTTTAAAGGCCTTGCACTCGCGCTTGTGCGCCAGGGCCCAGTCGGCGCGCTGGCACGGCTTGGAGCAATAGTAGGCGCCCTGGCAGCCCGTGCAAGCCTTCACGTCGACATCGATGCGCAGGCAGTATGAGCACGTCAGGTGCAGTGTCGGGGTGTCTGGGAGCGCAATGCTCGGCCCATCGAAGCGGGCAATCAGGTCGCCAGGACCAAAGGATTGGGTCGCCACGAGGTCGCGCCCGCGCGGCGATGTGACGGAGCCCGTTAAATTGAGACCCCGTGGTATTTCCATGCTGTCCCAAGATGTTGGACTTGTCAGATTGACATTTCTTGAATTGTGACCTCAGTGCCAAAAGCCAGAGCTTTGTTGACGGAGTTAGCGTTTGGCGATCGGAAGTCGTGGGGCGTTTTTTGCGTTGGAAAGTTCAACATGACACTATCGATAGATCTGGGTCATACTGCCGTTCAGACAAGTGTATCAGAATAAAAATATCCTGATATCAGTATTGCTGCAACTGAGGAACCATAGGACTTGCACATATATTTTATTCCTTAATGAACTGGGGCGCGCAAGCCACAGGTCTGTGGCGCTTTCAATAATTCTGACCAATCAGTGCATAGAGAAAGCAAAGCCACAACTGGACCTTATGTAGGCTCAATTATACCATACAACTTGGAACAAAAGCTTCGCCATGTCGTGATCATTATTGTGCCACACACAACACGATGATTAATTCTGATGGGAAATGCACTCAGTGAACCATATTTGAAATTCATTGTCAGACAGCTACCATCTGTTAAAAACTATTAAATCATCCGGCGGACCTTTTGTCGTTTGACAAAGGAAGCGAACATAAAAGCGCCGCCGGATCTTTTCTCTCGCATGGGTGATCAACAAGGTCGTGGTCCACTCACTAAAATGCTTTTGCCGCGCGTCATGCTTAAAAGCTTGTTGAGATGACAGGGACCCGGCTAATTTCTCATTGGGCAGAGTGCCCCGCGGATTCCACGGGCCAAGTATCCATAATTGTGCTTGAGTAAACTACATTGTATCACTGCGTAGGGTCTGTGGACTACAATGGACGTTGGAGTGATTCAAGACATTTCACAGAGGCTCCCGAGTATCCAGCTGCACAATTATAAAAGTACCAATGGGATATGAGCTAGCCAGATTTTCTATTTGATGTATATACTAGATAGATTCTATGACTATGGAACAATGGGATCAATGTCCAAACGAATAGACGTTTAGAAAGGAAAGAATAAAAGAAATTCTAAACCCCCCTGAGGTGTGACGGGAATGGAGACTGGGGGTTTTAGGAGACTAAAAGCCGAGGCTTTCAGTGCCCGAGAAGAGCTTAGTCGCTATTCGAGACACCTCCATCGGCGGTCAAGAGCGCAGCATAGCTTGTTTCGTAGCTGGCGGTAGGGTCGACACCAATAGTGATCCAAGAGAAGATGCCATCAGTGACATCATCTCCAAGGAAGACGTAATCAAAGACGGGGTCATTGTCGTTTTCGCTCTCGAGGCTAAAGACGCGATCGGCAGAGTTGAGGGTAATGTCGACCGTGCTAGTGTTGTAAGGGTAGGTGGCCTCGACCTGGGTAATCAAATCCTGGTCGTAGAAAAGCTGTCCAATGTGCGAGACGTTGCCGCCAGTGAGGGTGCCGTTCTCGAGAAGGCCGGCGCCTACGTGGGCGACAACGTGGACGTGGGTGGCGCGGCCGGAGTAGTGACCAGGGAAGACGGATCGGAACGAGGCCACACCATCCTCGTCGGTGGGCTGGATTCCGCGGGCGAAAGTCTTGTCCAGGTTTGAAGCATCATCGCCGTTTCCGTTGCTGTCGTCCTGGACACCAGAGTAGACGCCAGTTGAGTTGCAGTTCCAAACGTCCCACCAGAGACCGGTGACGGGCTCGCACGTATTGACGTCGATGAACTGGGCGTGCAGGTAGTTGACCACACCGGGCTCGCCGTCGACAATGTCCTCGCGGTTGAGCTCGCCCTTGACCCAGAACGGTCCAATCTCGCCTTCCGGCGCCAAGATACAGGTGTGATTGCTTCCAAAGTAGGCCGAGGAATCGCTGTCGACGGTGATACCGGTCAGATCGGAGTGGTGGGTCGTGTTGAGGACGGTAGCAGCATCGCGGGCTTTGAGTGCTGTAATTAATGATTGCTCCATCAGCATCTGTCTATTCAATGGGGTTTTTGTTCTCTAGTCCTGCCTGTGTCTTACCTCGTGCCTTGACCAGCTCGTCAACGTATGCCTGTCGACGAACCTCGGCGCGCTTGAGGGTTCCTCTACGCTCGAGGGTTTCGGCGCACGAGTTGAGAGATCGCTTCGACTGGGCAATAAAGCTACGTTTCACTGCCTTGTTCACGACATGTTCTTCGTGGCCTGGGTGAGCGGCGGCGGCGGCAGCCAAGCAGGCAATGGTCAATTTAGTGAAAGCAACCATGATGGGCGAAAAGAGAGAGTTTGGGCAAGTAGTTGCAGAAAAGAGAGTGATAGACGGCTCAGGTGATGATGAGATAGATGTCCAATATGTCCCAAGAACTGGGTGCTACCACCGGCCTTTTATCAACAGATTCATTGTATAGAACTTCGTGCAGTTTCCAATAGCCGTATCCCTATTTGATGATGCCTCTCAGGGGCTGACGGGACGAAGATCCCTGTGTCCCCAGTATCCCATCATTCCCTTGTTTGCATAAAGCTCTAGATCCACGATGTTCCTTGGAATCTAAGCCATACAGGTGCGAGGATACGCCTTACAATCTGATTTTTTGTCTATCCTTGAAACAAATTGCGTGGCCAGTTGCGTTGGCTTGTGGCCCGCGGACCAGTTCAGAGGACTATAAGCGAGTGTGAATGGATCCATAACACTGAGGAAGGCAGTGTTCCCTTCACGGTGAGCGTTGGGCATGTGGAGTCTTTGTTGGGCGGTTTTCCCGAGCAGATCGTCATTCTCGTAGTATTCTGAAAATATCCTTCTCCCTCTGGAAACGTGATAGCGTTCTATATCCCCGTTTTTGAATCCAGTGATCGGCTGGGTAGTCGTACTCTAGCAATACAATCGGGGTACCTCGGTAGTCGGGAAACTATAGTTGTCCGTCAGCCTCATTAGCGGTCTGTCCACTTTTCCAGACGAGCAATGCCAAGAATACGAGTAAACGATGCCAAACATCTGTGTATATACAAGTATTTTATTGTGAAATTGAATTATATCAAGGATAAACGAATTTATAAAAGTCTTGAAAAAGGTTATTCCCGCTAAATTATTTCTAATTATTTTATAAATTTCGTGGATTAAGAAATCTTTCTTATACGATTCATTATTGTTGCGCATATACATAAATGTTTTTATTAACTTAGGAACAAAAGCTAAATATGACATATAGTTTAAATCATAATATTGCACCTTACACTAAAGGCCAGCGACGTTTAAAAAAAGAGCCATTGCTTATTAGCAGGCTATACGTACGGGTATACTATTCTGAGTAACCTTTTGAATACTAGTATATATGGAGTGGAAAGCCTTATTAACGCAATATGGTATTTTTTACCGAATGCTTCATATTCCAAGCGAACAAAGTCCCAGCGAGCGTGGGTTAGGTGAATGACGCGAGTAATTAGGATTCTCTTGAAATGACCCAATGACTCGGCATAGGGAATGGATCCAGGATATTCCGACTGTTTACCATGTATCCATTATACAGCGAAACCCCAGCCAAGGATATAGTCTTGGCAATGCAGCGCCGCGTAATGTACTAACGTGTGCCCTTGGAAACCCTTCTTTTGGTAGTGTATAATGCCCCAAGTCATTGAACCTGGTGGGGACGGATAATACATGCGCCCTACATATTTGTTGACAATACATGCCATCAGGAGCCGGGGACCGAGTGGAACCCTGCCCTGTCGGTCCGCCATCGCCAAGACATTCTACTTTAACCTTTCGCAGGGCCAAACACCCAATGATAACATTACAGTTACAAATTGCGGGGATGGTATATATCGATCAATGGTACTTTGCGGAGCAGCAACACGTATACCCCACGAATCATTGCGATATAAAGCCTAGGCTCGGCACTTGGTACAAGCGCGAGACTTGATATCAACATTGCTCCTCCTGTAGCTGCGCGTACTAGCTGACGACGGCATTGTTACACGAATTTGATGCAAAAAAGACAGTGGCTCAGGGGTATAGTTTGTGTATATGAGTCAGTGTTCGCAGAGACGGCTAGTTACAATGGATCCAGCAGTGCCACTATCTTCTATTGCTCCAAGCAGTCACTGTGAAACATTCTTCCCGTGGCGATGATCAAGTCTGCTGTTATCCTCGGTGCCTTTGTTGCCGCTACCAAGGCTGCCACTTGCGACTCGCCCGTGCAGCGTCAGAACTTTCTTTCGCTCTCAGATGACGACAAGACGGCTTATCTCGATGCTGTTTCCTGCCTCACAACCCACGAAGCGGTCTTTGGCCTCTACGATGGAGCCACGACCCTGTGGGATGAACAGCAATACCTGCACTTGACCATGTCAAACTATATCCATGGCGTGGTACGTCATATCAACAGGACTGCCCTCTCGAGCATTTGCTAAAAACGTAGTAGGGACAATTTCTCCCATGGCATAGATATTATATGACATTGCATGAGAAATTACTGCAAACCTACTGTGGCTACACCGGCGGTATCCCATACTGGGACGAGCAAGCTGACGCCGCCAACATCACCGAATCCGAGATCTGGAACTGGTTAGGCGGAGACGGAAACTCGTCCGACAGTCAGATTGTGACCGATGGGCCATTTGCCAACTTGGAACTCCATTTGGGAGGATGGTCTTTCAATACAGTCATTCCAAAGATTGCAACGTATCACCTCAACCGCACCATTAGTGAAAGCATCTTTCAGGGCGCAAATCAGACAAATGTAGACGCCTGCTTTGCACTGGACAACTACGACGAGGCATGGTATTGCTACGCCAAGAAGCCTCATTCATCAGCTCATGCGGGCACCGGAGGCACGGTAAGCCCATTGCAGAGATATTTCCCCAAAGACATACATCTGATAAGCTGACCATTATCGATGAAAACAGATGCAGAATCCAGTACTCTCTCCAGGCGACCCAATCTTCTTCCTCCACCACACCAATCTTGATCGACTCTGGTGGTTGTGGCAGTCGGCCAACTTGACTGCCCGTCTCACGGATATGGGCGGCTCAAACGTGCCTTCGGACGAGTTCAATGCCCAGAACAGCTGGGACGCCCCTGGTGCGAATTTCACCGATTACAGCGGCGACCCGGCCAATGTCACCACTCTTGCACACGTCCTGTCAATGTACGACATGATTCCCAACGTGACGATTGCGGACATTATGGACATTGGCGGCGAGGTTGTCTGTGCGGAATACGTCTAACTACACATTGCATGTCATGTATGGCAACAATATGCAAAGGGTAGTAGTTATGGTGGCTTGATCATAATTTGCTTTCTTATATATATAACTACCAAAACGTATTTGGTTGTGTATAGTTTAATGACATTTAAGAGAACTCTCATGTCGGCTATATTCCACACGCTATCGGACGATTATGATCCTTTGTATTCCCACCTTCCTCTTTGAGCAAGCTAGCGATCGTATAGCCAGTACGTGACTCATCGCCGTGGAGGGTTGCCTAAAAGATGCTTACCGCGTCGGGTTAAAGTCGACTCTGGATGTCAACCAATATGAGGAGCACAACATACATTGCAGGAATACGACCGATGATGCATATATACTCGCTTGTTGGGTATTGTTCGTATTCACTGCTAGATTCCCTCATGAAACAAGTACTATTACAATGCCTCTCGTAGTTCAACCCGCCACAGAAGCCGACGTGCCTCGCGCCGTCGAGATTGAGGCGGCTGCGTATGGGCCCAACCAATTCACACCTATTCTCTTCCCCGGACCCATGCCGGCCAACGCCCTAGAAGAACGGGCCGCATTCTTCGTCAAGGGCCTGAGGGAAGACCCGACGACACGATGGCACAAGGTCGTTGACACGGATTTAGACGGCCAGGAACAAACGGTGGCCGTGGTCAAGTGGCATATTTTCACCGAGAAGCCGCAGTTTACGCCTCGGGCAGCTGTGCAGGGCTGCAATCTCGAGGCCTGTGACTTGGTGTTTGGGGGACTGCAAAGGCAGAGAGCTAGGATCTTGGGCGACACTTCCTATGTTTGTGGGTATTTCTCGTGATGTCTTCCCACCGCCCTTCTCGGAACGATTCGCTAATAGGCCCTTGAAACGGTAAGATCTTCATTCACTGCAGACTGACCCCAAACACAAGCGCCGAGGTGCTGCGACCTTGCTCATACAGATTGTCCTGGAAGAAGCACAGAAACGGGGCATGATTGCCTATCTTGAGTCCTCCGAGGCCGGCCATTCTCTTTACAAGGGACAAGGCTTTGAGGATATTGAGATGCACGAGGTTGACTTGAGCAAATGGGGTGCCACGGATACTCACAAGACCTGGGCCATGATGTGGAAACCTACCAAGAATTCATAACAAGGTTTCGGGCCCTATACTATGAACAGCAACGTTTCTCAAATTTATGCTTTTGCATTCAGATCTCATGGAGCATTCAATGTGCAGTACTAAGCCCGTATACTGGAGCCGGATATGATCTTTTGTTATTTCCTTTCAGAATGCGAAATGTTGCACCAAAAAAAAAAAGATCAAAGTTTATTACCAAGTTTGAGAAAGAGATATAAAACAGGTTAAGACTTTTTGCCCACCGCTTGCTACTTGAAATTGCTGTTTGAGTCTTGTCAAATTTCTGGAAATGGACAAACGGTTTGGTGATTGGAGAGTTGTTTGCCTTTTGACGCCTATTTAAAGAAGCTACATTTAGCGGGGTTGGAAGCCTAGTATAGCTCAGACTTCTCAAAACTCCATCACCAACCAGGCTTAGAATCAACACTAAACTTCCTAAAAAGGGCAATTTTGGCTTTAGTGAATGGGAGAAACCGCAGTCAGACTTCTTTCTCTCTAGGCACACTATTGATTCAGTCGAATCAAAGCAGGTAAAGGAGCCACGAACCACCCGGACTAGAGCTGCCTGCCCTTGTACAACGTCTGGATGCTGTCAGCGCTCAGATCCTACATGATGACGACGCCCAAGCCCGACCCTCCGGCACCTCTGCTCTCAACGTGGGAGGTGTCGGCCGCCGCCGGCGAGCCCATTGCCGTGGTGCGCGTGCGCAATCTGCAGGGCACGGTGCCGGTCGGCCGGGACGCCTGGGGCCGGCCGGACAAGGCGCAGCCGGCGCTCATCTCGACCGAGGTGTCGTTTGCCCAGCCCTTTGGCGCCGCCTCGGCCACGGACACGGTCAGCGCCGAGACGGCGCACTACGGCAACCTGAGCAAGAACCTCTTGGCCAGCCTGGGCGCCTTTGCCCAGGCGAGCCCGCCCACCAAGGTCGCTGCTGCTGCCTCCGCGGCCGGAGACAATGGCAAACCTAGCTCCGGCGACGTCTTTGAGCTGCTCTGGGTCGGCCTGACGGGCCGCGTCGTCGACGGCAGCGCCCGGGCGCTACCGCTCGACCGTCTGCCCTTTCTCAACACGGATCGCTTGCGGGGCTTGTCGCTGACGGTGCACCTGCCCAAGGCGAGTCTGCTGGGTTCCGGGGTCAGCCAGACCGTTACGGCGTGCTTCAATGGGGAGACTGAGGCGGCCGGCAACCCGCTGCGGAGCTACGCCCGTAGTCTCCGGATACACGAGCTACGCATCCCCGTTCTCATTGGCGTCAACGACAATGAGCGGCAAGCCAAGCAGATGGTTGTGGCCGACGTGGAGATTGATAAGCTCGATGTGACGAGGGACATTCACCCGGAGCTCGAAAGTATTATTACCGAGGCAAGTAACAATCATGTGTCTCTTCTTCTCTCTTCCCATTTCTACAAGCTTAGTGCTGAGTGCTAACTGACACATCAATGATTAGACAATGAGTGCATCTTCCTTTGAAACACTGGAGGCACTTGGAGCGTTGGTGGCAGGAAAGATCCTGGACGAGTTTAAGATTGTAGACGATCCCAAGACAGGTCGGGAAAGGGGTTGGCAAGTCAAAATAGCACTTGGCAAGCCTATTGCGGTTCCCTTTGCGGATAGTCCCGAGGTGATTATCAAGATGGGAGCCGGGTTGCTCTGAGACGTGATGAGAATAGATGAATACATGAATTGCAGCTCTATCTGATCTGCATGTGACTGCTATGGTTGTCTATCGCGTGTCGACTCTAAATACTATCGCTAACTTTAAGATCTGAAACACGGGTCACAACCGACGCCTGCCAGCACTCAATCATGGCCATTCAAACCTTTCGGCAGAGTGGCACATCACCGTTTGTGATCATATCGATGAAGGCGGGATCTGGGTTGTACATCATGACATGAAAATGCTCAACTGCCCGGACCGACTTTAGAGATCTCCAGTTCTTGAACCAGACGTACTGCGCAACATTCATCATCAGTAAATTTATAGAAATGCTTATTATCAAAACGGCTTCTCATCTTACACTGTCTCGTGGCAACTTGGAGCCGAATTTTTGCGTGACATAGTCATCAATTTCTCTTCTTGCTTTATCGGTGAGATCATCCGTCGCCGGGTCGTCTTCCAGCTCAAACTTTGTCCAGACGACGAGATGCACGATCCTCTCATCGAGACCATAGGGCCAGTCGTTCCAGAGAATCTTGATGTCGTCACCAAATTCAAAAGGTTTACCCCGCGACACTGTTGGCATGTCCCACGCGAGGCGCTCCTTCAAGACAAAGTTTATCACGCTGCCATAGACCTGCTTCAGTTTCGAGGTGTAGGCCAGGTAGCGTCTCAGATCTGAAGGGCGTCGCTGAAAGGCGTCTAGTCGGTTCTCTGCAACAATCTGTTGGACTTCTGGCCAGGTGATTCGACGATACTGCTCGTCGGGGGTGGCGATGATGCCAATGTCTTTGGCGCTGAGATTGCGCAAGAACTCGGGGCATTCCTGCGTCCTCTCGGCCTCGGGCACATTTACTTGCCAAAACGGCAAACCTCCCAGACTCCCCATTACCCTCCTCCTCCTACGACGGCAAACACGTATATGTATGGGCGACGAGAGGGCGGGTCTCTCTCGTCCCGCCTGTCTATTCTGGTCTGCAGCAAGCCGAGTTGTCGCAAAAAGGCGGGCCGGGCTAGCGGCTGGATAAGGTTATTGATGGCTTTTGGTGCCCTAGACCAGACAGACCTAGTATTCCCGGCGTCAACTTCATCAAGTACCTCGACCTGGGTGTCGAATGTCGTGGGTTGTAGACATGTGAGAGAGTCAAAAACAGTGTGAGATGTTTCCTAATCTTGTTTTACTCATTGGTATCTCTCGGAGGGAGAGCAACAAATGTCAGTTGAGATAGAAATGTTCACAGAGCCAGAGACAAAAGAAGGCCAAAACAAGTCAGGTGAACCTTTAATCCCACATGTCGCCTCACGCCGTGCATAAGGCCCCAAGGGTGCAAGCATGATACGTGACCCCCTCCATCCCCCCTCCAAAAGCTTGTGGGCGGTTCCTTTCAGGGGGCCCAAGGGGCAATCGACAGGCACATTAGCCACAGCCAACGGGCTGACGCCACAACACGGGGACGGAGTCAGGAACCAGACCAGGTCTACATTTGAATTTGGGGTTGCAGAAAAAAAATATCCATCGATTACCCGCAGTCAGAGCATGGAAGTTGAATGGATGTCTGTTACCAAATATCGGTGTGCTTGAGAAAGAGTGGTGGGTGATTGACAAGAAAGAAGGCCAGCCCCCCCTTGGACCCCTTTTGCTAATAAGGTCCTTTGATGGGACCTTGTTGGATGTGGATGTTGGCATCAATCAATGTCATGCAGAGAAGAACAAGAAGAAGTGGTTTGTTCTTTTGCTTCTTTTCTCCTACTGGCCATTTGCGCACGATCCCATCCCCCGTTGTTCTGTATACCTACCTGAATGGCTAGGCCAGCTCCTTTTTAACTGACCGTATGTCTGCACTTACCTTGGTAACCTGACCTAGGGAGCCTGGACTTGGTAGCAATGAATGAAAGGTCGTGGCTCCATGGTAATGTAGAGGTGTGTTGGCGCGTCTGCTGGTGGTGGTGATCTGTCAATCCAATTCCCCTAGTTGCCGGCATCTGGACCCCACGTGGCGGGGTTTCCAATGTCCATTTGCTCTCATCAGAATGACGTTTTCTCCCACTCCATTGGGGGTGGTTTGAGATGAAGTTGCGTGGCTTTTTGTGCTTTGTTCAAACAATGCACAGATGCAAATGGATGGGAAGAAAAACAACAAAATTTTTGGAGTATACACAGAAGAATGAATACGAACACAACAAGTAATATGTCAAAAACTTGCAGAGCACGAAACCAAGAAAAGACAATCGAGCCGCCAGCCAAAGAAAAAAAAAACCCCTACGCCATTCCTAAAGTGTCTCAAGCTCAACCTAGAACAGGCGTTTCAGGGGCTGAACGTCTAGACGTTCGTATAGACCGTCAAGACCGTGAGCGCTATTGCATAAACTTTCAGCTGAGTTCTGTCCACAAACTTTGTAGTACCTGACACCAACCAGTAGGAAGAGGCTAGATGATTGCATATACGGCTGGAAGATAGAGAGGTTGAAAAAATTTGTTCGTATAGGGTCCGTGATAACACACAATCTGGCCCAAAGGCCGGCGCAATTGGCTAGGTGAAGCACTTTAGAGGTTCACGATGTGCGATTGGGGAATTTTCGTAGGTTCCCTGAACTCGAATGTGCTCCATCAAGTCTCAGATATCAGGTTCAAGCTTCATCCCCGTGCGGCTTTTCTTTGCTACCACCTACCACTGTCTGCATCTCTTTTGTATATCCTTGCCATGATCGTCCAAACGAGGGAATCAAAGTTTGGACTTCTAGAGACATCCATCTGCTGGTGTGGAGCTATTGATCGAGCTTCCAGAACCCAGATGATTGATCTTTCAGCTAGGAGAATACTACTACTTGTTCCTGCTTTACCTATTCAGAAAGAGGCCGCTACCCGCCGCCCGGCTACGATACTGCTCATGATGCAAGGAGAGAAGCTCAGGATAGGTAGTCATAAAACCCACCGTCACCACCAAGTGGGCTAGGTACCAACTACACTAATACACCCCTGCTCCATTTACAGAGAATTGATCTTACGTGTTACTTTTTTTGGTATTTCGGTTGCGCGGAATTAGTTGCAGAACTATTGGCTTCTGTGCTTTGATGCTGAAATAAAGAAGGGGGCGAGCGAAAGAGGAAGAAAAAGGCCAGGCCAGCAGAAGCGAAAAGTGCGCGATAAGACTCGTCCGAGTTTTCGCTATAATCCATCATGGATGAGGCGAATATTGGCTCTCGATATGTCTGTTTTCGGACTCGATGTGGCGTCTACAGGCGTTGACATCCCGCGTTCTGCCCTGCCCAGTGTCCCGGGGGTGTGTTCGAACCCAGGCTGGGCCCAGTAGGAAACGGTAATGTCGCCGATAGAATACCTTTAGGTAAGGGTAGAATCGCTGGGAAAATCCATTCTCACGTCTTCTTCAGCTGTTGTTGGGTGGATGTTTTGGGCGATGCGAATCTTGGCTTAACATAGCTTCCCTAGCTAGGTAGCCGCCCACGCAAGTTGCATGTATTGTAGCAGCAGCCCACCAATTCGCACCCTTTCCCACCCCACCACTCCTGATTGCGATTGATCTCGCCAGCCAAATTGGATGGGTCTGAATGCGATGGGGCACCTGCTATCCCTGCTTGCGGGCGCCACATTATGTAGCTAGAGTGGACTCTAGGTGTCGATGAACATTGACTTCATCCAAGGAACGGGAGATTTGCGCGACGACACGGCGGCCGGAGATGTACCAACTACCTGAGGGGCTCCGGGGCAGCCCGATGAATTAATCGATCGTGCGTGTAGTGTACATTATTACCGGCAGCATATGTAGTGTTCCGTAGTGTAGACAACGCAAGCAAAGGAGAGAGAGAGAGACTAGCTGGCATGTAGGTGGTAGCTAGGTAATACGATACTCCTTGGCGGTGGGTTGCTTTCGAATTCGAAAACATGTCTGGCCCGTGGTCTGTAATGTAGGTGAGTAGATAAAAGGCCGCTCGGCAGCTGTCTCATGGCTGCTTGATTCTGATTTTCTCCTTTGCTCTGCTCCGACCTTTGGTCTTCTCATCCCTAATCCCTAAGGACCGTCCTCTTATTTTCTTCATTTCGGTGAGTTCATAATTCCATCATAGCTGACCCTTGACTTGGATGAAGGAGCGCAAAGAACGGCAATGCATTTGTGAGTAGCGGTGATCCCAAGTCGCAAGATCTTGCTCCTCCTTGCCCCTATCCGATGTAGGAGTATAGGCCGGTGAGAGAGCTTGGGAGGCAATGGTTCTACGCGAAGCAGGAGCTCATCCAGTAGCATGCGGCGGAAGCGCAACGGCGGCATTTGCTGAAACGCTCCTCGACTGTATCTTGCTGCCCGGATTTGCTTGTCCTGCTGGCTACTGCTGCTGCTACTGCTGCTACCTTACACAACGCATTGCCTAGAGTGCCTGTCCAATCCTCCCAACCAATCCATTCATCCGCTTGTCTGCTTGACAGACGAACAGGCAGACGAACGGACAGGGTTCTTGTCTAGTTGTTGTACCATTACGTCAATCTCGCTAACTCCTCATTTTTCTTTTCCAAAAGGTCAAGAAAAATACATTAGTCGAAGCTCCTCGACGAAAGCTCCCCCGGCTCTCCTTTCTAATTACCCCGCCATTTTCTCCTGGTCAACAAACTTGCAACTGTTGACTCTCCTCCTCGAATCGACCCGAATCTACCTGATTCATCTTCGAGTTCAGTTGCACAATTGCAATTCCCTTTCCGACACACTCCAACCCATCACACATCCGTCACAATGGCACAGGCGATCAAGAGCGCTCTGCCTACCCACCTCAAGGCACACCTCGGTGATGGTAGCGAGGAGACTGGCCGTCACCACGGCAAGACCCGATCCCACATGGTGAGTTCCCACGACTTTTTGGTTATTGTTGTTTTCCTGCACTTGTCCTGCTTGACACCCATCTGTGTCGATCTCGACGCAAAGATAATGGCCGCTATTTGGTGCAAATACTACACAAAAAGGGGGCTGTCTGGATTTCATGTCCACGGCCTCATTTGTCTAGAAGCCCGCTGGGCGTACCTTGGCTGCTTTTCCCTAAAAAGACCCAGCCATGGCTACAAGCTGGCAATCGCGAGTTGAAGAAGGTGAAGCACTGCACAAGGCCATATTTCGAGATTGGTGTGCCTTTGACGCCGTTCTCGACCTGAGCTCTTTGTTCATTCACCCCGCAGTCCTTGCGTGCTCAACCTTCCATTTCTGGCACACAATAATAATAACGCAACCTACAACATGTCTGAAGATCTGGCTAACATGAATCGCAAGGCCTTTGAGAACACCTCGACAAACATTGCCGCCGCACAGATGCGCAATGCCTTGACCGATCTCGCCCAGACCGTCAGTGACCCCGAGGAGAAGAAGCTGTTCGAGACTGAGATGGACAACTTCTTCTCGCTGTTCAGACGCTACCTGAACGACAAGGCAAAGGGCAACCAAGTGTGCGTACAACATGATGAAGAAAGACAATGACGCGCATCTGCTAACCAAGATTCACAAACAGCGACTGGGATCGCATTGCCCCTCCTGCTCAGGGCCAGGTTGTTGACTACGAGGACCTTGCCAACTCAGAGTCTGTTGGTTTCCTCAACAAGCTCGCTGTTCTCAAGCTCAACGGTGGTCTTGGAACCTCCATGGGCTGCGTCGGTCCCAAGTCCGTCATCGAGGTCCGTGATGGCATGTCCTTCTTGGATCTTTCCGTCCGTCAGGTCGAGTACCTGAACAGAACCTATGGTACCAACGTACCCTTCCTGTTGATGAACTCGTTCAACACCAACGATGACACCGCCGCCATCATCAAGAAGTACGAGGGTCACAACGTCGACATCTTGACCTTCAACCAGTCCAGATACCCCAGAATTCTGAAGGACTCTCTTCTGCCCGCTCCCAAGAGCTTCGACTCGGCCATTTCTGACTGGTACCCTCCCGGACACGGTGACGTTTTCGAGTCTTTGTACAACTCTGGAATCCTCGACAAGCTCATTGAGCGTGGTATCGAGATCATCTTCCTTTCCAACGTTGACAACCTGGGCGCTGTTGTCGATCTGCGCATCCTGCAGCACATGGTTGAGACCAAGGCCGAGTACATCATGGAGTTGACCAACAAGACCAAGGCCGACGTCAAGGGTGGTACCATTATTGACTATGAGGGTTCCGTCCGCCTGCTCGAGATTGCTCAGGTGCCCAAGGAGCACGTCAACGAGTTCAAGTCGATCAAGAAGTTCAAGTACTTCAACACCAACAACATCTGGATGAACGTTCAAGCCATTAAGCGTGTTGTTGAGAATGACGAGCTTGAGATGGAGATCATTCCCAACGGCAAGACCATTCCTGGCGACAAGAAGGGCGAGTCCGACGTCTCTGTTCTCCAGCTGGAAACTGCTGTTGGTGCTGCCATTCGCCACTTCAAGAACGCACACGGTGTTAACGTGCCCCGTCGCCGATTCTTGCCCGTCAAGACTTGCTCTGACCTGCTCCTCGTCAAGTCTGACCTGTACGCCCTGAAGCACGGTCAGCTGCAAATGAGCGCCAGCCGTTTCGGTGACGCTCCTCTCATCAAGCTCGGTAGCGACTTCAAGAAGGTCTCCGACTTTGCCAAGCACATCCCCTCTATCCCCAAGATTGTCGAGCTCGACCACCTTACCATTACTGGTAACGTCAACCTGGGCCGTGGCGTCGTTCTGAAGGGCACCGTTATTATCGTGGCAACGGAAGGCTCTACCATTGACATTCCTCCGGGATCTATCCTCGAGAACGTGGTTGTCCAGGGTAGCTTGCGTCTGCTTGAGCATTAAATGGTTACAAACCGTTGCTTCCTCCCTTTTTCACCTCTGGATGTCACGCAGGAAATGGCACCAAGGTATTGTCTTTAGAGCAGGACACAGCATTGCGTAAATACAGGGTCGAAGTTTGACCAGACCAGGGCAAAGTAGCCGCCACTGGTGTTACGTACCTAATGAACTAAATAAGAATAAAAGAACATGGTTAGAGAACATAACGCCGTCTATTTGGCGGCTTGTTTGGCATGACTTGCTCAACATATCGTGACATTCAAATTTTGTATTGTAATCAGATGCTTGTTAGAGACATAATATTGCCTATGATCCCTTTATCGATGTCTAGGTGCAACGAGTACTCTGCCAATTGTGCCAAGAATGGTATTATTCATTTGTTCATGCCCATGCCCACAAGCGCATGTGGGCGGTGCCCATTCGGCTTATCTCTTTGATGCCCCGAGGCCCAAATCTTATTTACACATTTTCTTTTCTTCCTTGTTTTTATCATTTCCTTCGTGAATCGTGACGGGGGATCGACGTTTCTATTTTCCCTTTTTTCGCTGCTCCCGGCATTCGGGGCAGAACCACCGACCCTCTGGCTCGCTCTTGAGGCCCACGCAGTTCCAATGAAACCACTCAAAGGGACAATTCGGATTGTCACAAGCCACCATGTCGCCATACGACACGTGCTGGCACAGACAGTACTTCTTGCCCTCCTCATCTGGGTCCTCCTCGCCTGATCCGCTGCCATCAATGTCACTATCAGCCATGTCATCGTCATCGCCGCCGCCGCCGCCGGAATGCTTATGGGGCCGCTTGTGCGGCAGATGACTAGTCGCCGCAGAAGGTGCCGGTGTACCACTGCCTGCTCGTGAGCCTGCACGCGAGCTGGGCGCAGACTCGGCATCCGAAAGCTCGCTGTCGGCCGTCGAGGTGGGAGAGCCTTTAGATCGTCCCACCTGCTTCACCCGGTTGAGACCCGACTTGGCGTTTGGGGGCTTCTTACGCCCGGTACTGCTGCTGCTCGGGGTGCTCTTGCGCACGCCGCTACTGGACTTGGTGGTCGCTCGAGGCTGGACACTACCTGCTCGCGACCCCGCTGGTGTTCCTGCCTTTGGTGTTCCCGGTCCAATGGACGAGTGCCGTGCCAGACCACTTGATGCTGATGGTGCGGTTCCCACATTGGTATTGATTCGAGGGCCTCTCTTAGGGACGCCACTTCCAGGACCAGCTGAGGACTCTCGATCTTTGCGGTTGAGGATGATGGTTGCGGCGGGCGAGACTGGTGCCGAGACGGAGCCGTGTGCTTGCACCTGAGTCGTCCGGATCTGAGGGTTTGCCAGTCTAGCGCTGGCCGTCGCATTATTCGGGAATCCACCCAAGGGCGAAGAAGCAGCAATTGCATATTTTGTTGTACTGGGAATGCTATGGTTCGCAGCGCTCGGTCGTAGAACAGAAGGGGTTTCGTCGGGATTCGAAAAGCCTGGTTCTTGTCGATCGTACAGCACCTTGACCTGCCCATCCAAGTGACGCAGGTGCTTGTCAAAGACTTGGGTCAGTTTGGTGGACAAGGTCATCTTCTCGTATGCCAATAGCTCGGCCTTGTCGTAGTTTGTCCGAATAATGTTGCGCAGGAAATCCTCTCGCGGATTGGGTTGGGCGCTTGTGTTAGCACGGATCCAGCGCTGAATCTTAGCATCGCTCTCCTCTGCAGCTTTCACGCATTCATGGTATGCCCGATCCTTGTCGTGGATTTCATCTTGCAAGAAGCGGATTTCCTCATGCAAATTGGACGTACGATGGACCCAATCGTCGAGAATAAGGCCCGGGTCTTGGGCCTCCACCGAGGGGGCCATTTTGTGTACGAAATCGATGGAGAGGTCGTCTCTAGGCATGGCTGTTAATCGGGCCCTCGACGGGAGGTAGAGTGTATGTATGTATGTATGTATGTGTGTGTGTGTGTGTCTGTGGGTTGTGATATATCTATGTATTATGTGCAAAGACGCAAGGTATAAGTCAGGGCAGCATAAGCAGTGTCAACCTGTCACCCCTTTTCTGCCTTTGTTTGCCTCTGGGGCCTGCCTCTGCTCTGCTTTGCCGTGCGCTTGTATGCGCCTCAAGGTGTGCAATGGTGCGAACAAGGCGTGGCGGGCAGGAGGAGGCGCGAAGAGAGTGAGAGGACTGAGACGCGACTGGTGGATATGAAGCAGCAGGAGAAGGCAGCGGCGTAGCGCGCTCGCATGTAAAGAGTAGGGGGGCAAGTTGACCAGACAACAAGAAGAAGAAGAAGAAGAAGAAGAAGAAAAAGGATTGGGGTGGAGGAGGATGGAAGTGACGAGACAGACGATAACTCGGCAACAGCAGACAGTAGCAACGCACAACGACGACAATGACGATGAGGTTGATATTTGGTGGTGACGATGGACTTTTTTTTGTTTACTTTGATTGTATATGAGCGTTTGGTCTGGCTCACCTTCTTCGAGGGTCCAAACGGGAGTTGACCACAAGAACCAGATTCAATCAATCAAACAATCAGCCAAGAGTGAATGAATTTGAATGAATCGGCCAGAAATCCAAATGGATCTCAAATGGATGGATATGCACGACTGTGAGTCGTGACAGTCAAAAACTCCCCACAGGTCAACAGATGTCCCCTGCTGAGAAAGTTTTGCCCGAATGAGGTTACGCCTGGGCCGCCGACGAGCAGACAGACACGACGGATGCAATGTATGAGAAGGTACATAGGTTGCGAGGATGGATGGATCGATGCGGCGGCGGCGGCGGCAGGCAGGTAGCGACGTAGTGTACAGGAATAATGGAAACTTGCGTTTGTTGGCTGGTGCCAACGATGTCAGTTTTCCCCAGGCTCAGCAGCGTTTTGTCAGCGTGAGAAAAATGCTGCAGTGGGACCAAAAGTGGCAGGGGGGAGGGATCTGGCATCAAATGCCTGAGGCCCCAAAACTTGCCGCAAGTCTGTGAATGGTTCCATGGCGGCCGGCCATTATACCTACAGATGCGCGCTATGGAGCTGGAAGTGTCGCCAAAAGTGTTGGCTCCTCTATTTCAATCTGCCCTGGTCTCTGCATTACGTATATACTACAAAGCCTTCAATCCTTCTTGACACGTTCTTATATACCGAATGAATTGATCTTTTGAGCTACAAATAAGGTTAGCAGCCCAGCACGTCTTTCTAGCATTTTCGATTTTGCTACAAGGGCAAGCAAGCAGCACACTCAACGTAGTAAGTAGACTTTGTAAATATCTTGATATGTCTGCTGGGATGATTCTCTCGAGTACATTCCAAGTGGCGCTGTAGACTTTGCCTCATAAGGTTTAGCTTATCCGCCTAGAAAGTCTAGCGCCAATACCGTGCGTCGCTTCTTGATCGCCCGCACCTTTTCGTTAGCTTTCTGGTGATGGAGCACAACATTGAAAGAATCAATGTTCCTGATTCAAACCATCGACGTGCTGCTCTCTGACGCATCTTACTGGTTTGCAGTTAAGCTCTTGGATTTGTATCAGCACTTTCAGCAACACTCAGAGGCCGCTATATTTACATTCTCGCTACGGCTAAGCGCGTCGTCGACCGCCTAGACAACCTTGCCGGAGCCACTTTCCTGGGCCGATTTGCTCTAGTCAACACGGGGATCACCACGATCACTGTCGGCAGTGAGGCATCGAGCTGAGTGCTTCCAGCTGCCCAAGAGGCGCTGCGTAGCCTGAGTCGCCCACATACTTTACGATCTGTCTGTGTTTCTCGGGGGTTTCTCGTCATCAGGCGCGCTTCTATGCGTAGGCGCATATCTGTCCACCATGGAGGCCGAGCGGACAAATCCCTACACTTTCCGGCTACCCAAGCCAAACTATCTTCCTCATATCACCAATGAGCCCATTGTCGAAGAGGTCTTCAAGCCTCTGGACCGGCCAAGTGAGCTCGAGAATGCCGCCTATAGGAACAAGGCAAAGCGTACCATGCAGGAACTGGGCATCACGACACCCAAGGGCTATGATGTGTCTTTTCATTACAATCCGGAAATGGAGAGACATCACTTTGGCCAAACACACCCCATGAAGCCTTGGAGACTGACCCTCACCAAGGGCCTGGTCACTGCGTATGGCATGCACTACACCATGAAGAACTACACAGCACGTGCCGCAACTTATGATGAGCTAACATCATTCCACACCTCGGATTATGTCGATTTCCTAGCTACCGTTGCACCTCAACCCACTCCGCTTGATCTTGACGGCACTAATTCCGACCTTAAATTCAACCTGGGTGGAAGTGACTGCCCTCTTTTTGAAGGACTGTACAACTATTGCTCTCTATCTGGCGGCGCATCGCTTGACGCGGCCCGAAAGTTGTGCACAAAGCAGTCCGATATTGCCATTGCATGGGGCGGAGGGCTGCATCATGCCAAGAGGTCAGAGGCGTCGGGTTTCTGCTATGTCAATGACATTGTCATTGCCATTTTGCAACTGCTCCGAGTCCACAAACGAGTCCTTTATATCGATATCGACGTTCACCACGGCGATGGTGTCGAGGAGGCCTTCTTCTCCACAGACAGAGTTATGACGGTATCCTTCCACAAATACGATCCTATGAACTTCTTTCCTGGAACGGGTGCCCTCGAGGACAATGGGCCCAAGAGTGAACATAACCCGGGCGCACACCATGCAATCAACGTACCCCTCAACGACGGCATCACGGATGAGCAGTATAAGTGGTTGTTTGAGAATGTTATCTCCCGATGTGTGGAGAAATTCAAGCCCGAGGCTATTGTGCTGCAATGCGGCGCCGATTCTTTAGCTGGAGACCGGCTTGGCAAATTCAACCTGCTTGTGCAAGGGCATGGCTCCTGTGTCGAATATTGCAAAGGCTTGGGTCTCCCCATGATCATCGTGGGGGGTGGCGGCTACACGCCCAAGAACGTGGCTCGCGCCTGGGCGTACGAAACGGCTATTGCAACGAACAACCAGAGCAATGTTGCCGCCACTGCAGAAATTCCGCTACATACTCCATACCGGAAGAATTTTGAGTATGATAGTGTACTCTTGCCTAGCATAGAGCAAATATTGGGAGATGCACGACAGAACCGGAATACCCAGAAGCGCTTGCAGGAAATCATACAGCATGTGACGGAACAATTACGCTTCGTGAGTGCCGCGCCGAGCGTGCAATGCTCGATCATTCCTCCGGACCTTGGAGGCATCAGAGACGATGTCGAGCGGCGAATCAAGGAAGAGTTCGACGAGAGGAATGAAGAAGGGAGGAAGGACAAGGAGGAGGGCGTGGGAGTCCCGATGGAACATTGATCCTGCAAAGCAGACCATGTCTCGAATACTGGAAGATTGGCGTAGGAGCATTTGGTTAGAGTGTTTGGTCAACGCATAATCACGATACCATCTTTAACTTGTACTATTACAGGATACAGGGCGTCGGCGCTGGTGGACAAAAAAGCTGATTGGCGAATGGGAACTGCCGGATCACGGGCAGACTGGAATGTCCTTTTTCATCCAAGCAACTGCATATCAGAGTAGCCGGAATATCAAGTGGTTGATACTAGGTGTTTGGTTCGTGACGTTGTGGCTGGTAGACATGGATAGTAATACACAAGTATGATTGTGACACATAACCGCATTCGATACGTTGAAAACTCGCAATAACTTTTAGTCACTTAGAGTGATTTGTGTTAGTGGTATTTCCAAGATGAACGAGCATGCCCACATCATGGTCAGGGCGTATTGCGATTTTGTATCCTCCAAGTCGACCTAACTTCTTGCCATTATCTGAAAGTAGATACCAGATTGAGGAATGCCGGGCGGCAAATTTCAATGTTCGTCGATTCAATAGCCAAGGGAGAAAAGTTTTCTTATCTTTTGAAGAACTTTTTTTTCTTTGCAGAAGATCTCGGGCAGGGGTAGAGCTTTTATATGGTGCTAGGGTGTATATCCGGAGCGTGTTCCCGGAGATCATGATCACAGTTGCCGTACAACGGAGAACTCTCAATTCGATCCTTACCAGGAAAATTTTTTTTGTTTTCTTCAGAACCCTTCTGATAAGGGAAACCCCGATTTGGGATCCGATCTAGCTCGTAGCAGGGCTAATGATCAAGAAAACCTTGCCATCTCGCATATGTACATCAAGTAAAAGATGTGGCGTTTAATGCCGGACGCCTTGCATTAGAAGGGAAAAAAAGAAAGTAAAAAGTTTATTGCTGACCTCTCCCCATCCGTTCACTGGGATCAATGGGGCCGCCAACCGCACAATTCGCAGCTGGACTTGTCTCGCAGAAGACGCCGGCGGCCTATAGCGTAAGGCGGGGAAGCCGCTAAAGGCAAGCAGGTTTCAGTGAGTTTTTAGCAGACGATGGACGGCCAGAACTCCCAAGCAAGTGGGAATTGAAATAATGGGTTCAAAGGGGAACAAAAATGATGCATCCAGTCGAACAAGAACAATGTGCTGGGGAAAACCCCACGATGAGATAGATCATGTGGTTTCAATTCATGTAGGTACTACAAGAGTTAAGATTTAGTTACATTTGGAGTTTACTCCTCCCTTGTTCTTCTCCGGCTATACAAATGATGGAAAATCAAGCCAAGAGATTGGGGGGAAGCAATCTGGTAGTTTCTATCGAGTAATACATGGCTTTGTACGGTCTCTTGCACATACGTTATTGGGGTCGGTCCTCCCACGGCCGAAAGAAGACTGCCTACCCGCTACGCAGGTCTTGTGATTATGCGGCCGGAGTCGGCCCATGTTCGTTCGCCTTTGCCCGGACCTAACACTTTTTTTTTTTTCTCAATCATGGCAAAAGAGAGACCGAGAACAGAGCAGGGAAAATTTTCACCATCTAGCCAAGGTCATATGGTTTACAAAGAAAAATTCTTTCCCTTGCAAAGATAGAGAAATGATTATATCTTGCTTGAACATATTCTATTAACAAAAAGGTGAGCCATAGCATTGTTTAAAAAAAACATAGGCAAACCAACACTTAGACCTACACTCCCACTTACACCTGCACTTACACACACACATATACACACCACACCACACCATATCGCATATCCTCGGGAACTAGTATAAACAAAGCCGGCGCCTCATTTTTGGGGGAGAGGGGAAAACTAGACCATCGTTGTTTTGAGGCAAGAGCACCACCACATTGGACGATCCTCTTACTCGAGAATTGTTCTTGTGACCCTTTTGTAGGGATTGCGCTTGTCTTGGCCTTGTCGTCGTCATCGAAACCCTGTGCCTCCCTGGTCTTTTGTTACTTCTTCTCTCTTCTTTTCTGTTTTCCCAAAACACAAATACATCTACTATATCTCGATTGCCCCAATCATTTTGGGCAGTACTGTCATTTTGATTCAAACTTGCACTTTTGTTTCCAACAGGTTGTTACTTCCTGCGTGCCAAGCTTTCTCGCCATTAGCTGCGTTCGAGGATAGTGCCCTGCTTGCCCATATTGCTCGTTGCATTGAGTTTTCATGACCAGGCCAAGGTTTTAAGATTTTGACGGTGTCGATCCAATCTCGATATTTCTAGAGCTTCTTGGGTTTTTGGGGAGGATCCTTCCGAGGATTCCAACACACGGAGGAAACGTCTTTTGTAAAAGACGATATCGGGGGGGCGTTCTGGTCTGTACCTTTTCGGATATATCGGAAGTTATAGGACCAACAAACAGCAACAAGGGTGTACATAATTTTCCGACACATACATCATGTCTCTTCACCGAGTCTCTTCGCTCGAGACTTTTCTCAGCGTCTCCGAGGATGGCTTCAGGTCGCGGCGTGGCTCAGATGCGGATATCGGCGCGTCCGAGAGGGCTCGCAAGCTGACCTTTAATCCGCTGCCGGAATCGTGGGATCCTACGCCTGCGGAAGACGAGCCGCAAATCACTTCAGTGGGTGCTTTTGAAGTCCCCAGGTGGAAGAGGATAGGTATGCTTCTTGATCTTTGCTTCCCATGGACCCTATTCTAGTGAAAAGTCGCCAGGCTCTTACTAACACCTCTTACAGCGCAGCTCGTCGCCACCGTCTTCTACTGTCTCTTCTCCGCCGGTGTGGTCTTTGGCTATGCGGCTCTGAAACCAGTCCTTAAGGATGAGGGCGCCTATCGGGATGTCTGTCACGGCGACGATACCTGCATCGAAATTCATCTGAATCTCATGTTTACCGTGGCTGCCGTGGCCACCAACGTCGCCGCCCTGCCCATTGGCGCCATCCTCGACCGCTACGGTCCTCGCGTGTGCGGTTGTCTGGGCGCTGGATTCCTCGCCGCGGGTGCCCTGGTTCTATCTTTTGCCCAGGATATGCCCTTTGACGCCTTTCTCGTGGGCTATCTCTTCCTCGCCCTGGGCGGACCCTTTATCTACATTTCGAGCTTTCAGCTCTCCAATGCGTTTCCGCGTCATTCGGGGCTGATCCTAGCCCTGATCACGGGCGCCTTTGACGCCTCGAGCGCCCTGTTCCTGGTCTACCGGCTCATGTATGAGGGCTCTGGCGGGTCTTTTGGCCATCATGAGTTCTTCTTGGCCTACCTGATCGTGCCCGCCGTCATTGTAGTGCTGCAGTTCACCCTGTTGCCGGCACAGTCATACAAGACGGTCGGCGAGATCATTGAGGATATCGACCGGCAGGATAACGACTCCCGCATGGCTTCGTACGCGGAAGCCGTAGACGACCAGATTGACGAGGAAACTGCCCTGCTCCGTGAGGAACGCCGCGAGCAGGCGCGCGAGCACCACGAGCACGTGGTCCACGAGATTGAAGAACTGCTCGGGTCAGCCAAGGCCGACAAGCAGGTGCACCGCGAAGAGGTCAAGAACGAGATCAGCGGTGTCTGGGGCGTCATGCACAATGCCACCATCCGGGAGCAGATCTCGTCGCTGTGGTTTTGGCTCATTTGCCTCTTCACCGTGGTGCAAATGACACGCATCAACTACTTTGTCGCCACCATCCGACCACAGTATGAACACATGTTTGGCTCGGAGAAGGCTGCCGAAATAAACACCTTTTTCGATGTCGCCCTGCCCCTCGGTGGTATTGTCTCGATTCCGTTCATCGGATTGATCCTTGACCGGCTGAGTACCGTCACTGTGCTTGCGACGCTCGTGTCCGTTGCCACCACCATTGGCGTGCTCGGGTGTCTGTCACTCGAGTGGGCCGCGTATGCCGGCATCATTCTCTTTGTGCTGTACCGGCCGTTTTATTACACGGCCGTAAGCGACTACAGCGCCAAGGTGTTTGGGTTCCGCACCTTTGGTACCGTCTATGGTACCATCATCTGCCTGTCTGGCCTCTTCAACTTTAGTCAGAGCGGGCTCGACTATCTCTTTCACAAGACGTTCCACAACGATCCTGTCCCCGTCAACGTCATGCTGCTGGGTCTTGGCCTGGCGGTTGGCGTCTTTTTGGTCGTGTTCGTGTGGTGGAATGTTCGAAAGATGAGGAGCAAAGCGCTGTCCAATTATGGAAGAATTTGAAAAGAGGTGATTGGCAGGAAAAGTTAAATGGAATAAAAGAAAATTCGGTGTGATGGAAAAGGGAGAGAAGGAGTGAAAGCATGGACTGGCAGTCTGTTTTTTTTTTCCCCCAATTCATTTAGCCAGCGACTCTGTCAATTTCTCGACCACAAATTGTTTGTACCATTTCTTTGGGCTGTATTCTGGACATTGAACATCATGATGTTTTCACTCTCATGGCTCATGCTGGTCTTTTGGTTTTGGTTTTTGCATAGCAAAGCATCTTGGGCGGATCTTGGGTTCATGATTACAAGGTATATCATGTGTAGATTCATGACATGCCGCTGGAGCGTTGTTCGTAACAACAGGTCAGAATGAAATGCAAAAAGAGATTAAAAAAATTTAAACGTACTGCTGCTATCCCACAATGAATCGCTCACGTTGTATTTGGACTTGCTAATTCAGGAAAAGAGAAAAAGAATAAAAAGGACCATTAGTAATATTTTCAGGACACGAGATCATAAGATTGTGTAGGCAAGTTTGTATATCAATCAGCACATAGTATTTCACCAAAGCGGCATTATTGAGCACATTAGAGATTCATAACATAGAAGCTGAATTCCACCGTCATCTGCAATTCTAAATGAAAAGGTTTCGACCGTCAAAAAAATTCAATAGATCACAAACCAAATTTAGATAAAACCGCCTCCCCGGCTCCCCCTTTTCAGCCCAACTGGCAAGAGAACAGCCAGGCATGAAAAATTGAAAGCAAAAGAGGACATGCAAACAAAGGAAAGATGAAGTCCGTCTGAAAAGTCGGCAGGGTCGTTTTTCACCACATCGTGATCCCCATACGATCATCAAAAACACCGCCTTGGCGCCGGTGGTTCGAGGTGGATTTGGCCACCCTTGTGATCATATGTGAAGTCCCTTAGCTTTCCTTGAGAAAAGGTTCAACTAGAGGGGGGGAAATCCCTTTCAACTTTTTTTCTTTTTTGGTCTTTGTCGGATCATCTACGGGCCCAATGTCGACACCTCCTCTCTCTCCCCTGGTGTGTTCCACGTGCTCAATCAAAGTCGAGCACGATTCTGCAGCCGCCGCCGGTATCCACCCCACACTCAAAAATTATTCACAATAGAAATTAGATACGCCATTCCACCTTCTTGATGAGTTATGACTTTGTAGCTCGGCGCCAATCGAGACAATAGATGGCAGGTATCCATAAGAAACGCAAGATGAAAATCCAAGACGTTATGTGGGAATATTCAAGAGGTTTACGAGCTGTCCTCGAAAGTGATGGTGGCAGAGCCGCCGTCGCTGATGGCAACCTGTAGAATGTCTTAGTATCAATTATTTCCATCCCATGAAATGAAAAGCAACTTACAGTGCAGCCAGTGTCACCATCGGGGTAGCTACCGGACTTGTAGTAGCACTCTCCGCTGATGTCACCGCTAATGACAACATCAAAGTCCAAAGTGGCGGTCGAGGTCGGGGAGTTGTTGAAGATGGACAAGTAGGTCATGCCCGCGGAGTTCTTACCGACACCGACGTTGATTGGGGCCCAGTTTCCAGCGCTGTCGGGGTTGGTGGTGGAGTCCCAGACACAGGCGTCCTCCAGAGCTACGCCCTTGGGGTTGATGTAGTACTGGAGAGTGGTGGAAGAGCCCTGCCAGACGTAGTAAGAGCTGGACTCGATGTTGGTCAGGGTGTAGGTGTTGCCGGGCTCGGTCCAGAGAGGAATAACCATGGACTCGCTACCGGGGTAATCGGTACGGCAGACAGCGGCGCCGTCGGAGCTGAGGTTGTTGACGATGCTGACACCGCCGCAGCCAGGCTGGCAGAGAGTGCTGTACTCGGAGCGAGTAAGCTGGAGCTTTCCATCGCTGTTGCAGTACAATCCACCAACGGACTGGCCGGTGGAGCCCTGGGCAGTAGGCCACTGGGACTTTACGTAGCCGTCAGGGCAGGCGTACGAGCAGAAGGATCCCTCGGTACAGGAGTCGCCGCTGACTCCAGCAACAATGTAAGAGATGACACTGTCGAGGCTGAAGTCGAAGCCGGGGACCTGCTGGATGGAGGACCAGCCGGCAGTGCCAAGCCAATCAACGGCAACAGCACCGTAGTCGGATGGGAAGGTGCTGCAGTCAAGTTCGCCATCAGGGAAGTCGGCAGTGACACCAGTAGCAGTAGAGCTGCTGGAAGACTTGGTGGTGGTAGCAGCGGCGTAAGTCGAGGTCACGGCAGAGGAAGTAGAGGTGCTGGTGGACGAGGACGAGGAGCTGGACGTGCTGGTGGAGCTGGAGCTGGCCGAGGTCTTTTGGAAGAAGGCGGCATCGACCTTGAGGGTGCTGGAGACGACCTCGGGGGTGTAAGTGGGAGTCGTCTCGCCAACAACAACGTAGAGACCGTTCTCGATTCCAGCCTTGGCCTCGTCGGCGCTAACCTCCTGGTCGCCGAGGATGTAGGCAGTCATGGTAGCGGGAACAACGGTGGTGACAACATCGGCATCGCGCTTCTCGACAGGCGTACCCTTCTTCTGGTGGAAGTGGCCATGTCCATGGTTGTGGGGCTGAGCGGCAGCAATCGACGCCGCGAAGGCGAGGTTCATAATGGTGGACTTCATTTTGTCGTCGGACTATATGGTATGTACAGGCAGGCGGCAAAGGTGGAAGGATCTATAGCCATGGTCAGAACAAAGATGGTTTATAATCATTATCGTCGCAACAAAGAAGCTCTCGTGCGATTATTCATTGAATGGAGTTGTGCTCCATGGGATCGACAGTCCGAAAGATCGCAATAGTGCGCACAAGCCCACAATCATCGCGCCTTGTTCTCCATCAATGCCAAGCCACAATGCAATTGATGCAGGATGGAGTTGAATAGCATTGCGATGTGCATACGATGATTGCAGTTGGCGCAAAGTGTATAACCACCACCAGACGAGGAGAAATCCTTCCTTACCGTATAGCGTGACTAAGGGTGCTGACTTTTCGACTATGCGACCGATCGATTATCGAATGTATTAATGGTTTTTTCGAATTATTGACTTTTTTTCCAGTCTATGTCCTTTTCTTTTCGCGATAGGATACAAGTAGTAGTAATGAGCGACTCGCAGTTCCGGGAAGTGAAAAAAAGAATGTGGTAGAGGCCCGAAGACACTCAAGTTGGACGAAGGGGAGGAACAGACGCGATGGTGAGTTTTCGTGAAGGTAAAGACAGACGAAGGGATGGACGAAGGCCAACGGACCTGGGCGTGCGAGGGAGAAAAGGAAAGTAACGGCCAGGGGGGCTCGAGATTGGGGCAGATTGGGAGTGCGTGTGCACTGGATTAGCAGCAAGGTCTAGAGGTTACCAGAGGCTAGCGCTACTGGCTAGACAGGCGGCGCTACTGCAAGGGACGGATTGGAAAACGGGGCAGTGGACAACGGCGTTTTGCCTCTTTGGGACCCTGGCGAAATTGGATTAGGGGCCAGAGAGGGAGGGGAGGGGGGGGGG